ACTCAGGGTAAGCTTCTAGCAGCTTTTGCAGAAGCCACCCTGCAGCTCTACCCCCCGCCACCAAAATCCAGCCAGGCCAACCCAATATACATTTCTTGGAATATTGATTTTTGTGGTCATTTTTACGTACTGCTTTCTGTCTTTAGAGTCTCAGTCCAGTTTCAGTGAGTTCTTCCCTTCTAAGGAAAGCTGAAATGAAAAGTGCCCATTCTTCTAGTAGCTTCCTCCGATTTCTGAAACGCAAAGCTACTTTTAATGGGGGAGCTTGTTCACCACACATACCACATTCCTAGCTGATGACTGAGTAAAGACCGCCACTGGTGATTAGTTACCATCACATCAGCTCCTGGATAGTGGCTCAGGAAGAGGTTCATTATTCTCCTTTCGGTGGTGTTTGTTGATTGCTCATGGTTTCTCTTTGCTCTTTCTTAGCCTGCCTTTCCTTATGGCTTCATTCTCAGAACTCATTCGTGCTCCACAGTGCAGATCCACTTATCTCATAACTGGGGTTTCATGTGAAGACTCCCCTCCTGGGATTTGTTTTGTTGGTTTTATGTCTTTTTGTCCTTGTTACAGCTTTTCTGCAGTTCTGTGACCTCTTCTCTCCAAAGCTATAGCAGTATTTAATTTTCTGTGACACTTGCTCTTTGTTCTTATTTGGAGCCTCCCTTACTGCACTGAATTTGAGTCCTAAAACTCTCTTCCCTTTTATTATTGCTTGAAATGCATCTCTTTCTGCCATTAGCTTTTTGTGGAGTGCTGTCACATGCATTTGTCTTCAGGATTTATTTTCTCTTCCTGGCCAGAAAATTTTGTTAAGCAGATTTGTGACCCATGGCCACATACCTTTGCACCCACAGTTAATCCTAGCAGTCTGACCTAGCAGTGGCTTCAGTGGTCTCATGAATAGGCCTCATAAATTTTCTCTGATGTCTTTGCCATTGGATCCATGTGGGCAGCCCATTTCCCAGGCTGACAGGTGAGTATATCGGGTGGATGTCTGTCATGGTGGTAGCCAAGACATCTACAGCTTTAGAATTTTTTTACATCCTTTCCTTCCTGGCCAATATAGAATATCAGGATAATAACCTGCATAAGCTTTTAATAGAATTCAGCTTCCGTGAACTCACTATCCCTGTGCCAGCCACAGGCCAGTTATCTCTGCCTTCTAATATTTTCCATAATTACCCAGTTTTCCTTACATGTTTCTTGTTATTATTACATTGACCATCAGTTCCAGGAGCACAAGGTTATCTTGTGGTCCAGTATTCCAGGGCAATGGAAGATAGGAAATAGGAGAAGATAGAAAAAATACCATATACTTCTGTAACTGTAATATTGAAGTGCTTTTTTATGTTTCTCTGTGTATTAGTGATGCCTTGCAAGACAAAATTGATTAGCATATACTTTATTAAGGAGAAAATATTACACAAAACTTAGAACCACAGATTTGGCTCCCAGAGGCATTTATAAATTCTGATGCCTTGTTAAATTGTGTAATACTGCTTTTTCTTTCTGTTGCTTTCTCTTAGTTCTCTTTTCTTTCCCCCCCTCCTCCCCCCAGGAGAAATTGTAGGTTTGCTGTCTTGGAAGTATGGAATCAATCTCTATGATGGGAAGTCCTAAGAACCTAAATGAAACTTTTCTGCCAAATGTTGCCAATGGCATCAAGGACACCAGTAAGATTGCAATAGGCATCATTGGAAGTGGAGACTTTGCTAAGTCACTGACAATTAGACTTATCAGATGTGGGTACCACGTGGTCGTAGGAAGCAGAAACCCTAAACTTGCTGCTGAGTTTTTTCCCCATGTGGTTGACGTCACTCACCATGAAGATGCAGTAGCAAAAACAAACATCATTTTTGTAGCCATACACAGAGAACATTACTCCTCTTTGTGGGACCTCAAACACTTACTTGCTGGAAAAATTCTGATCGATGTCAGCAATAATACAAGAGTAGACCAATATCCAGACTCCAATGCAGAGTACTTGGCATCACTTTTCCCAGATTCCCTGATTGTCAAAGGATTCAATGTCGTTTCTGCTTGGTCACTGCAGCTAGGACCAAAGGATGCCAGCAGACAGGTAAATGTTATATTTATATTAAACTTGTTTGTAAGATAAAAATGACAAGAATTGAATGTAAGCATACAGAACTCATGGGATTCATCCAGCCTAACCTGATGTACCTAAAATGTTGGGCCTTTAGTTTAAGTTTCAGTAGCCAATAAAACTTGAAAGCCTCATTCATTCCACTGTAAAACACAGAGTAAGTGACCAAAATTGTGCCTTGGGATGCCTGTTCGTCTTTAAAGACTGCAGAGTAAATGTGGATGCTAGCTTAGACTAGACAGCTGACCTTCAGATGCCCACAGACAGTCTCCTGTAGGAAATATTTTTATCTCAGTGCTCTATGCCAGGATAGAGGCAGTCTTTCCCAGTATAGTTTAGTTTCAGTATTGGTTTACACGGGGTGAACTATTGAAAGTGATGCACAGAAACCTGAGGTCCTGATCCCAGAACTCGAAAGTCAACTGTTCTAAAAATGCTTGCATTCAGTGTAACAGCAAAGTGAATAAAAGAAATTATGTAGCTTTTGGAATACTAACTATGAGGAAACAGAAGGAGGCGCATATATTTCTAAGTGATCATTGATTTGATCCAGGACTGCTTGGGAACATCATGTTCAAATTCTTTCCCAGTATGTTGCCCAAATCCACCTTGCCTATAGAAAAGGTAGGGTTATGTTTTTCGTGCTCTGCTGAAGTGATACAAAGGATTTAAGTCTATGCAGGAACCTAGGCCTTCATGAATTTATGGACTCTAAGAAATTACTGAGAAATGACTGGTGTAACATGACTACTAGAGACTAAATGGAGTTTTCTGGCACTTCAAGTAGATTTTTTCAAATTGGCATGCAATTGATACAGAATTAGCATAATTTTAAAAATAACCTCACCGTACTATTTCTATCCCCTTTCAGAATAGCACTGCATTATAAGTAATTAATTTCTGTCAAAACAGATCATGTTTGCTCTAATGCAGGTCACGAGCAGTGTTGGGCAAGCTATAGCAGCGTTGAGCAAGCACTGTAAATGTTAGAGGAACTTTAAAGTACTTTTTAGCAGTACATTTCTTTCACTGTAATAAGCTGGTCTTTAGAAGGACTGCTTATCTGGCTGTTAGATTTTGTCTTTTCTGTTACACATTCAGTTTTTGTGGAAATCTGGATTGTGAAATTAAGCCAAAATTGTTACACATGCAGAGATTACACAGTTCTCTGCTTTACATGCTGCTTGTGCTACAGCTGGGTTAGGGTCATCATTCAAGATAACTATTTTTGAGAGACTCGTGATTTTCTGAAATGCTTTAGTCATGGTTTGAAGTTCAATTTAGCCCTGTAGACATTTTGCACTGGGGAGAGGGTGCAGATTACCAGAGCATTCCCCGATCAGCTCATTATTAACTCCAAGAAAAAGCCGATTTTGTTTTGGTTACTCTATTGCTAAACCAGTGTGCATATTTTCACTTTGACTGGATTTATATGTGGTTTTGTTCTCATCTTGGTGATATAAGCTGGAATAACAGTGTACAGTTTTAGCAGTAGTGCTGTAGTTTTGACCAGGAGGCCCTTAAGGGTTCTTTGCTTTTTAACTTCGAGTCTCTTTCTCTGACTACAGACAATTCATGTGACTTTCCCAACAGGTCTATATATGCAGTAACAATGTTCAGGCTCGCCATCAAGTCATTGAGCTTGCCCGTCAGCTCAGTTTTATTCCTATTGATTTGGGGGCATTGTCATCTTCAAGGGAGATTGAAAACTTACCTCTGCGGCTGTTCACACTGTGGAAGGGGCCTGTAGTGATTGCCATTAGCCTGGCAACCTTCTTCTTCATCTATTCGTTCGTCAGAGATGTAATCCATCCGTACATGAGAAATCAGCAGAGTGACTTTTACAAGATCCCCATTGAGATCGTGAACAAGACTCTACCTATTGTTGCTATCACTTTACTGTCTCTAGTGTATTTATCAGGGCTTATTGCAGCTGCTTATCAGCTTTACTATGGTACTAAGTATAGGCGATTTCCACCTTGGCTGGGCAACTGGCTCCAGTGCCGAAAGCAGCTTGGACTGCTCAGTTTTTTCTTCGCAACAGTGCATGTGGCATACAGCCTCTGCTTACCTATGAGGAGATCGGAGCGATACTTGTTCCTCAACATGGCATATCAACAGGTAAGCCAATCTTTTGTTCAGTCAACCAGAAATGCCTTGGCTCTGTGTGTATGGCTCATGAGTACAATATATATTACGGGTTATCGTATGCATAGCTAGTGCTGAATGAAAAGGGAGGCTAACGGAAGCATCTGTGTGTTGCGCTCATCTCATGGGTCAAGCTGTAGTCAAGTTTGTGTGGTAGACACAAGCACGTGTTCTGCTTAAATCCCTGGTAGTAATGTATACAAGGAGAATGTAGGGACAGACAGGGTAAGAGGAGCAGCAGGAAACTTCTGAGGTATGTTCCTCTCTATGTATACTTAACATATGGGGGAATTATGTATATCATAAGTGTGAAAAGTATAGAGGTAGATACTGCAATGATGCTTACAGATACATCTGTGTTTGTAAAATGAAAATGCTGTTACTTTGTAACATTTTGGACCAGTGGTAGAAATATTTTATTCATTAAAAAATTCTGTGAACATCATCTATTACCAGCAATAGAGATTGACTCAGTCCTCAGGAGCAATTGGTGTTGCATAACCTTGAAGTGATCTCTGACAAATCTCTTATCCTTTAGAAGAGGGTCTAACGTTGCTGCTCTCAGTGAGGTAGCTCATTGTCACCTTTAGAGTGGCAGAAAAGCTGCACAGAAAAGCAGGATTGCCATTCAGCTCATAAAATCTGCAGGACAGAGAGATGTGATGGAACAGAAAGAAAAGCAAACTAAGGAAATCAAATCAAATGGAACAAATTATCGAGGATTTGGTTCAGAAATTCTTAAAGGGCTCATATGGAAAACTGAATTTAAGAGAAAGGCAAGAAGAAAAAAAATATAAAAGGCAGCAAGAAACTCTTAATTGTTCACACTAAGTAAAGGACCCACTGATACTTTTACCAAGAAATTACCCTGTTTCTAATAATATTGTGAAAGTCTCATTTGCTAATAATATTCCTAGGGAACTTCTTTCAAGAGAAGCTATATCACAATAGTTCACCTGCAAGTGGAAAAATAACTGAATATCCAAGCCTCTTAATTGTTAAGGATTTGAGTTATTTCTTATTTCTGTTAAAGCTGTCCGACAAGATCAATCTTGTATGTGTCTGATGTCAACAGTGAAAGAGGCAAAATAACTTGGACTCAGCATAAGGAGCTGAAGCAAAGTCAGGAAACTATGCTAAACTGTTTTAAATGTAACAAACTAAAAAAAAAAAGCAGGTTTACCCAATTTATGTTATAGTTTACATTTCCAGGGTCTGAAGAACACGGCTATTTCTCTACAGTGTATAGGAATGCACAGACGTATGTGTTTTTATAACGTAATCATTTTAAATAGTATATACTGTTACATTTTCTTTTAACAACTCATCTAATTTTTCATGTTTAACACATTCTTAACCTAATAAGAGCCAATAGCAGCAATAAGGAATTAGTTGTTTTTCTCCAAGACATGAGGAAAATTGTGAAATATTTGACCCCATTTTATAATAGTCTTGTGACTGTAGTCTTCTACTCAGCAAAATAACTTCTGTTGATATTTATAATATTCTGTAGAGTAAAGTGCTTCTTTCTGCTCTTTCATCAGGTTCATGCAAATGTTGAAAATTCTTGGAATGAGGAAGAAGTGTGGCGAATTGAAATGTATATCTCCTTTGGAATAATGAGTCTTGGATTGCTCTCCTTGCTGGCAGTAACTTCCATCCCTTCAGTAAACAGTGCCTTAAACTGGAGGGAGTTCAGTTTTATTCAGGTGTGTTACTTTTCAAATAAGGGGGTTTTGCTGTTAACAAGAATTCCTTGGTGATCATGATTGTGATCGGGATGAGAGCTTTTTTTTTTCCAGTCTCTCTCATAACAACATATATATATATCAGCAGATATATTACTATAAAGGCACATTAACCATTTAATCAGCGTTAGAATAGGAATTTGCAATTTACACTTCTTGGTCTTAAATATTCCACACAGCTAAGAACAAATGAGCACTAATCTATTCCTTTTCCATTGTTAGAATTTCTTGCTAAATTTGATTTAGGTAAATTTGGACAAACTCGCTAAAGGCACTAATGAGATACTACTATATGATGCACACAACTGTAAAAATTGAGGACTTAATTTGTCCTGCGGATTTTTGATTGCACGGCCCTATGACAGCCATGGTGTCACTGATGCAGTTTTGCTTCCCCTCCACTGTGCAGGAATACAGCTCTCGACAGCATTATTTGCACTAGTTGAAAATACCCATTAGTAAAATATGAAGTTTTGTTTATTAAAGGCAGAAGCTTTTCCAGGTCCTGGCATGCCTTCTGCTGCCCTCTCTCATCAGATAAATATCTTCAACAGGCAGACCTAACAAGCATAAAATACTTAGAAATATAGGCTTTAATAAACAGCTTAATGTTTGCTTCCAAATCAAATTGCTGTTAATCTTAGGTAGCAGTCAGTGAGGAGAAATGTTATTGGTCTCATGATAAATTTCGTAAGTGTGTACACACAGTTTGGGATTTTGTTATGTTTTGGTTTGTTCTCTGACTTTAGATTCAGTACTCTAGTCTTAACTCAGTCTTTTCTCATTAATGTTTTTTCAACATAGCCTCTGTAATAATACTGCCTAATTCTTAGCCCTGTCACTGTTTTCAAATTCCTACCTTCAGTGCACAGGCACTGACTTTACTGCTCAGGGCTTGAGTTGCGTTTCGTAATTTTCAAGCATTGTAAAGGGAGCGCTGGGGAACACTTCTTTAGCTGTAGTTGTCTTCTGTCTGTCTTCCCTTCACCTAGGGTTTCCGTTGGTGGAATGCTCCAGGTAGACCTATGGAAAGTTTGCTGAAAATTTTTTGAAATTAGAGTTACCCTGCCAGAACTGTTTGTTCTTACTCATGGTTTTGAGCCTTCAGAGAGGGAGTAAATACCCATTTTGTATTCTTGCAACATCCCTGCCATCCAGAGTTCCCTGTGTGGGGACAGTAGTACTGCTGTTGGGTGATGCAAAACGTTAGGGTAAAAAGAAAAATGTGTATTCACTTGTGAGTGAGGTGATACCTTCATCCAGTAATGGCTTCCAGATGCAAACCCAGTCTCCCACAGCATCCTCTTCGAAAAGCTGGCAGCCCACGGCTTGGACAGGTGCACCCTTCGCTGGGTTTAAAAACTGGCTGTATGACCAGGCCCAGAGAGTGGTGGTGAATGG